GCGGGCCTGGTCCGGTACATTCGTTGTCTTTCTATGGGCACTTTATAAAGACTTTTAAGAGAAGGAAAGGCTTTTAGTAATAAAATGACTTCTTATCGGAATGGTGCTGCGGAGATCAGTTTGATGCCTTGTGCTTTATCCAGCTAGAGGCACACTATATACACTCTTTATTGGAAGTGCATTACGGAAGTAACACTAAGACTTGCTGTCCCTGTTCATCGATCTGCCATTTGGATATCAACCGCACACCTTCAGGCCGGCCAGAGAGTTGAGATCAGCGGGAATAACGCCAGCCGCAACAGCATCTAAAGGGTCAGCACCTGTTGAGCTCATATCATCGGTCAGGAGCAGCCCACCTTGGTATGACCAACGATAATCTCCTAATTGAGCCTTCCACGTCCAGAAAATCCAGCCTTGTTGCTTCTCATACGCCGTGACCTGGGCGGCGAACCACTTCTTGTAGAAATCCTTGTTAGAGTCAGGCGACCAGTCAGAGCTCCACTGCACGTTATCGGGAACGCTCAGACTCCATTCTCCCACAATGGTCGGAGTGTTGCTGTTGAGCTCGTCGCTGCAGGATGTGCTGATGTAGCTGTCCTTGGAGACGGCGACACTGGCCCATTTTAGATAGCGGTGATCGTCGTAGGCGGCGTAGTAGGTGTCAGTCAGAGCCTCGTTGGGATCACCCGAACCCCAAAGTTTGTCCATCATCTGGATGTGCAGGTAGTTGTTTTTGTCGATGTTGAGGCTTTGCTCTGCAGCGCGGATTCTCTGCGGTCAAGCGTGACGGTGAGCATTGTTTCTGTGCTTATATAAGAGCTACGCACCTTGAAAGCATTGGGATAAAAGCTGGTGCGCATCGAGCCAACCTTGTCAGCATTTTGAACAGGCTCATTAACAACCTCGAGCATTCCGACATTGCGGAACTTGTTGTTCTGGTGGATGTTGGTGGTCATCCACTCGAGGAACTTCAGCGCCCTCTCGAACTGGTAATCCTGGTAGAAACCAGCGGTGGGCGCATACTGGCCCGTAAACGGATTCTGGGGTGTCTGGGCCCCGGGAGCACCGTGCAGATCAATAATAATGTACAAGCCCGCATCACTGGCCCATCCACACAGATTCTCCAGATACTGCAATCCGCCCTGGGGGAAATGCTCACTATCCGAGTACACCAGGTCCTCACGCATCCAGTACCCGACGGGAACCCGGATGGTATTCAGGCCATAGCTCACCATCTCGGCGATGTCATCCTGCGTTATCCAGGAGCTCCAGTGGCTCGCAAACGCACTGTTCGCTTTATCCTGCCCCAGGCTAGAGACGCAGTCGAACTCGGATTTCTGGCCGCCGCACCCCATGTCCGACCACGCCTTTTCTGCGATCCATGGCTCGAAGACGAATTGAGAGCCCAGATTCACGCCTCGGATCTTGCCGTTTGAACTCGTGAAGAGGTTCGTACCGTTTGTTGCAGTGATCTTCTTGTTGACCTCGGGCAACCAGGCAGTTGCCAGGCCCGATAGAGCGCTGAGAGCTGCGAGCCTTCTAAGCATTTTGATTGTAGCAACGAACTGCCTTTCACCTAAAGAGCGATGTAAAAGGATATGTGATCCGCAGCTCTGTCGAGACAGGTAAGTGAAGCAGTCTCTATTTATCTTGATTTCCGACCCCAAAACCTGAAACGCGGATCAATGCGCCCCAGCACGGGAAATAATGCTTCGCTTCAATGCTTCAAATGCATTGGCATCAGCCGCCCCTGAGCCTGAAGACGCCCATCATTTGCTTATGCTCGCGATGTTTTCCCGGGCAGACTGAGACGCGCCAGACTTAACGCTAGCATTCTGTCCATGAAGTCGAACGTGCGATCAAATTGCTGAGATAGGCTGGAGCAGGACGGGAATGGACAATTTCTCATGGTGGATGTCTATTGCGAGACTTGCTGGCTGACGATCTTCAACGCTCGGTGTGTTGGTACGGATCTAGACTTGAGGTTGGGGGAATTAAGGGGTGATCTGGCTGGTAAGGTAGCATCGAAGAAAGGATGTAGGAAACGAGATGCAACAATACAGTACATCACTGGAATAGAAAAGAAAATAAAAGGACTAGAAGCTCAAACGGTCTGATCCAGGGGAGTCCCTGGAATTAGAGGTCGCAAGTGATCGTCGTCTTAACGGTCAACTCTAGGATTTGCCTATTTGGGGAAATGGTGTTCTTCAGCTCACCTCTCCAGTCGACACCCCAACGAGAATCCGAAAGATTCGCGATAATGAATTGTCAAGGTGAATCTGATTCTCAATTGCATTCAACTGAAAATAGCAATCGGACTCGTCATCGTACTTCTCAGTTTCGCCGTCTCTCCGCGCAAGTATTCGATGTTTATATACTCTCGGAACGAAGCATGATAAAAACACTGCTTAGTTGGCTTCTGAGAACGATTATAGAATGGCTTCTCAACCATCACATGCATCCTTCTCATAGCCTTTCCATGTCAGTGTTCTCCGATGATTAATCTGGACTGAGGGAAGTTCGTAGTCCGGCTATAGATGGAAAGACCTGGATCGAGCCAGCCTGGCCACAATCGAGGTTGAATATTGTCTATCTACAACCCATTTCTTTGTATGGCCCCAGACCCAATCTCCTATTACATAATGTCTGCTCACTGATCCACTTCCTGGGGCACTCCCACCAAGAACGACGGGGTCAGGCCCGGTATCAGCCCATGAATGCGTCAGCGGGACGCGGTGACGGGGCTACAACTTTCTCACGATGAAGCAGCTGCATATCCACGGTCCCGAACTGGCACAGTTCCCAAAGGCACAATATCGGACGATGGATATATATTCGGAATTCGAGGCTAGAGAATCGCAAGAACAGCAGTACAGCCGGCAGGCGCACGATTCATCCAACTATATTGGGCTCATCGGACCACCCCAGATAGCACCTTGACCAAGACAACTAGCCGCAAGGCGTCGGGCTATTGACGAACGCATGAGCTCGGTAGTCAACGAGGAGCTGTACCTTGACCCCCCACTTTCGGATAACGGGGAGATCTGCCAGGACATGCTGTTAGCTGTGAAGCTCGCGGCTTTTCCTCGCTGACATTGCGTATGGGCTTTCGCGGCTCCATGTCGCAACATAACTCAGAAACTCCATAAAATCTTCTGTTGACTCCATGGGCTGCAGTCAATATCTCGCTCACCACCTGAGCCAGTTGATCCCACTTTGGTGAATGGCCGCGAATAATTGCTGCATACGGTTGAATGCGGGATCGCGATCCGGCGCTTAATGGCACGATCCGCTATCTTATTAGAAGCAGACGCGACCCACTGTGATGGTTCAGAACAAGGGTTGGGTTGATCCAAATGCAAAGATGACCTGATCAGTTATCCCGACCAGGGAATCCCGCCAAGGCACACACCAACTCCCACATGCGGTGTGTGGGGAGGCCAGATACGTTTTCCAGCTTGACATTCGTATCTCGGATCCGAGAGCTCGATCTCATATTCACCCCACGCTGTTCAATCCCAGATTCAATCTATGCTGTGTAGGACTCTAGAATGTAGAGTTAGAAGGTGAGCCAAATCCCGAGTAGAAGTCATATTATGCAACATCCATGTCCAATTTGTGTCAGATTGACAGTCCTAGTTCCCACCGGCGTCCTGCGTCGGAGCCGAAAATCACGGATGTATCCGTAACAACAGCAGCTAAGAAAAGACGAAGTCCGATCAAAATCAAATCGGGCTTTTGACGATCGAGCAATGGATGTCACTGGTCACTACTAGTACTCTGTACTGGACAGTGGACAATTCTAATGATAAACTCCGCATGCTGAGACCCACTGAAGTTAGTCAAACAATCAAAAGCCACGGTCGGAGTCAATAATGATATGGCATGTAAATAACTTACCTCTTCCAACAGTCTTGTAGCCTTCTGGTGTCTGTCCCTTGGGGTCTGGGCTCTACCCAAGGGAGACTATCTAGCTGTAGAGGCCCCTGTAATCTATTCTCGGCTGGACCGGGAACTCCGCTCGGAGGAAACTGTTGGTTAGTTCTGTTTGATAATTTGCTGGATTGCTGCAGAGTGGCTTCGGAATGAAATGAAGTTTGGCAAGTTGCTCCCTTACGATATGCTCATCATGAGATGCGACCCTAGATAGTCAGAAGTAGCCATTCTAGCTAACCTCCCCTTGTCTACGGTCATAAATCATATATCGGTTGTGGGTATTACTATATGCGGCTAGGACGGATGGAGTGGATCTACTCCGTATCATCTCAGTGTAACCGAAGTAAGTAGATGTCAAGTTTCAACGAATATGGAGAAGGATCTAGTCTGGAAAGGGATAATGTAGGTAGAGCTGTTGGACAGTTCCTTTGACTTGAATGGGAGAAGATGAATCACAACGTCAAAGCGAGAAGGAATGGACCATCAGGAATTCGGGCTCGGCTCCTTTTACCTACTACCAAGTAAGTTCGGATACCTACCTGAACGTGTCTGCACAGTCAATGTCAGACAATCAACAGACTCGTTGTCGGCCGAAGCGGGAATACCTCGGTCGGCTTTTAAGCACAAACCCCATCCGCGTCCAGTCACCAGGCAGTTCTCATGGCGATCTCCGAGGATAGACAATCCAGGGGCGCATGGTTGCAGTGCATGAGGGATGCTAGCCCCTCGTCGACTACTACAAATACGGCTCTTACCCAACTGACTACGATGAGTTGATCACTCATTCGCTCACTCCTACCATGTGCACTCGGGGGAACTCCCACCCCTCGTGTAAGGTACTCTCGGATAAGTTTGCTTGGGAAGCGAGACAATGCGACATTTGTAAGAAAAGTGCCAGAAGCATGGTGAGATCATACGCTCAAAACAGCCTCGAAAATGCTTCTCGACCATCTAAACGGGTGTATGCGGGATTGATGGGATTCGCCTACCACGCATAATCTCAAAAGATCGGCATATGTGTCAAATGCGGGGCTAAATGTACGAAAAAAAATATCTATCTCGTGTCATAAATTTGCCATGCCCATACTGGGGAATAACATCACGTCGGACACGCTGTCGAGTATGGTACGCATGTTCTTCCCCTGCGGCGCAGGAACGTATTCGGAGAACTGAGCTGCTGTGGTGCTGAGAGCGATCGATGGTGAGGACGCAGGGATCAGCATTGGGGTGGCGATGCTGGAAACCGTGTTCGTGGTCTCGGAGCCCGATCCCAATCTCTCAGGTTCCTTAGCACGCAATGCAGCGCTGATCTGCTGGAGGGCACGGAGCGACGACGCAAGGTGTTTCGCAGACTCCGTCTGGCTGTTCTGATTTTCCTGTCCTCCGGCGTACACATGATCCGCCAGGACAAGTTCAAGCCTCCGAATGAGGTCATACGTTCGAGCTCGATAACGTTCCTCGAGATGTGCAACCAGCAGAAAGGCAGATGCGATTGTGCGCTGCAGGCTGATCCAAGTCCGGGAACAGTGCGGGTTGAACGAATGCAGCTCGACAAATGCATCGATCGTGTTCATCAGATTCGTCAGGCAATCATCGCGGATTATCGCCCGCCGCTCATCGTCCAGATGCGCATCCGGGTCTAACGAAACGCGACAGAGAACGGAGAGAAAGTACGACGAGTGCAGACGTAACTCTGCTCGCTCGATATGATCCGCCAAAGTGACGCAATGGTCAGGAGAGCGCAAATGCGGGACACCTTCGGCGATGATTCGTCCGAAGCGCTGCTTATACTCTCTAATCTCGTGATATCGCAGTTGAGAATGATGTGGATACATTCGCATCCGCAACACTTCCAGAACGACCGAAACTAGCCGGCAAAGTGACTCAAAATACGATCGATGACCGGGCATCGATTTGGGATCATAGGGAATTTCCGGCTGACTAACCATCGTGATTGATGGTCGATCGTATGCCAAGGAGAAATGACTGTTCTGAAAAGCCATTGCCCACCTGTTGAGCATCGTGAGAATGGTGCCACTCGTGGCTAAAAGTAACTGGGATGGCACTTACCACACCCTCCTGCGAGCCGCTTGAACATCTCGCGCAAAGCCCGATGATTCGACATGAAGACCGAGGACCATACACATGCGCTCCGTCATCCCTGCGAGCATGTCGGTGAGTTCAGAGTCATGGAAGCTGCCAAGCAAGAAGATCGCTCACCTAGCAACGTGTATGACGCGCCCGCGTTCATATTATAGGACAAGACGTGACTTATGATCAACAGAACTTGGATCACTTCAAGCGTCGGTTGCGACACATAGTTCAACATTCGCAAACACTGATATGCGCAGGAAACTGGAAGACGATCAGCCATGGAAGGTCACTCGATGATGGAAAAAATACGCACCATAGACCCAGGAGGTCAACTCCCGCTCTTTACCTGGCAAGTCGGACAGTTGACACCCGGATGCAAGCACGGCGAAGAGCAGACTCAGGAAGGCCAGGTTCATTCCGAATGGCTTGACCAAGCCATTGGTATCTGGCCGGTAAACACCTCCGGCTGCCTTGCGGCCTCGCAAAAGTCGATCCATATTTTGTTCTAATCTGGCGACGTCTGGAAGCACCGGATACAGTACAGCTGCGATGTCTCTATAAAAACCCATGAATCTGCAGAGAAAAACTTCGATTAGCAAGGCGAATCAACCGACCATCGAAACCAATTTGCATACCGTCGACATTGGTCATCATCGGGTAATACTCCACAAACGCCGGCGATGTTAAATGTATACGGATCCGACGACCATAGGTCAACGAAAGGGTATGCGGCCGACTCGTTTCCCATCGCCAGCTCCGCGAGAAGGTCATCCTTAGGCAGCGCCTGCGCAGTTTCCTCGGAAACCTTCGACTTGTTCAAAATATCCACGAGTGCTGATCTCGACCCTATATGGACGGAGCCTGTTCGCAGCACGTCTGGCTCATAGATGCCTTCGGACCTCGGGGACCCTTCTTTTTCAGGGGATACGTCCGTGACGGCGTTGCCGGGTTTCCTCCGCGCGTGTGTATCGAACAATGAGTGCAAACTGCCCATTATCTGTTCCATTGCGCGCATCTTGGCGTTAATCTCATCCCATTCTCCCTGTGTGATCATCACAGTATCCGACAATGGGTCCTGGTCGGGAGTGGAATCAGTGCCTGTCCCAGGTCCAAACGAAGCATCGCGGCTCGAGGTATTTGTAGTTTGGTAAGTCGGAGTGTACGACGGTAGAGAGGAGAAGTATGGGGTTTTAGGCAGAGTCGTCGTGGGAGTCGGTGTAGTTAGCGGATATGGGTCCTTGGGAGGGGGGCGGCCATAGGAGCAGTTGAAGTTGCGCTTGACGCAATTGCCGCATGGTACATTGCGATCGCAACGGACCTTACTCGCACGACAGGGTAGACAGGTCTTGCACTCGCGGGGCCGGCGCCGGATAGGATATGTAGGCATCGTGTGCTTTCCGGAGTGTGATCTGTCCAGACTCTCGTCCCTACCGCCCCGCTTTGGAGAGATGGGAGAAGGATGGACGCGAGGGAGGAAAAGAGGAGAGGAGAAGCGGAAGATTGTCTGTGCGACAAGATAGACCACGCGGAGTTTGCATAGGACTATTTTAAATTAATATTAGGAATCCTCGTGATTGATCGGATTTTGGTTTTGCGACAAGAAGTAGAAATCAAAGCGATAAAACCGGAAGCCGAAACTGATAGCGATGCACAAGTGTGCAATTGGCTACACCAAAGAGCCCGCGTAGATGGTTAGGTAGCTTGCGACCGCGGCAACGGAGTTGAGCTGAAAGGCCGATGAGGTTCGTCTCGATGAACACCTATATCTATTCTGCAGGATACGAAACGACACTTTCATAGGTCAGGTACGTAGATAGGATTATAGTATGGTACCTGTCGGGACTTGATGATGAAAGAGTTCCAGATCGAAGAAGAAGAGAAGAGGTCGATCACGCCGCTCCGAGGCCCAGGCGATCTTGCTCTTGTCTGGATAGATCGAATCCTTGGGGCTGTCCCAACCGGGCAGTGGAGCCAAGAGTAGGTGACCATACACTTGGAACTCTGGAAGATGAGGCTTCGTGCGATGGTGCAGTGTCGATCTTGATGTCAATCTCGCGTGGTGTTGAACTTTCAGGCTATTTCAAATTATCACTAATTCAGGGTCATCAGAGATGGAAGGTTATTCCCGATCATGGAAGTGTTTTCCTTGACTGATGTTAAGCCGAAGTGGGATTTCGGGTTATGGATTGGCCTAGCCAATCCCTGGTCAACTATCAGCACTTCCACTCTTTCGCGGTCCAAAGCACAATAATAGCTAAGGTTATCTACTGGGCACCGGATTTTCCTTTTGAACTTTTGATTCATATTGAAACGTAATGCAGCATTTGTCTATGACATTAACATTCATCATAACAAATATGGTTCTATATACATTAAATCATGAAACATCCTCAATTCATCATCTAGAATGCTTTTTAAATTGATAGAATAGAGCATCCACCCTTCACTGAAAGGAAAAGAAGAGCGAATTGCGTCCGGATTGACCCATATCATGTTTTATTGCCTGGTTTGACCGGTGTGACCTGCGGCACAGCCCACCAGTCATGCCAGCGTGCCTTTGACCCAACCTCCGGGATCTCTACTCGTAGACTGACGCGGTGACCGTCGGCGGGGGAGCTGGTTCCTCCAGAGTCGGCGAGCGCCTTCTTCACCGCTTCGATAGCGATGCTTGCGCCGATGCAGGCCCGCATCGTGTCCTTAACCTCGCATTTCCAGTCTTCTTCGATGGCCGGCGCATGGTACGTTTCGCCCTGTGAGTTCTTAATGAAAGTACCATTGGCGAGTGTGGCTTCCCAGGCCTTGCGGGCTTCTGAAATCGCCTTTGAGGCACGTTCTAAGACAACTCCATCGCTGTCCCCTTCCAGAATCGCTTCCCGGCGATACTCTTCGTACGGCACAAGTTCCGGCAGGCTGATAGGGATGAAAGGCTTCATTCGAATTTCGTAGCGCAGCCGCTCGCTGGAGTACGCTCCCGGAGCAGAGGCTGTCGGCAGGAGATTGTGCCGAGCGAGGAGTACATACAGAGCATGCAGGGATATCGCAAAGGCATCGATAGCAACGATATGTGTGGTGAGTCTCTCAAGGAGTCGAAGGGTCCTGTGAAAACCGGACTGCCGTTCGGCTGAGTTGCACTTCATTGCAGCCATAGCAGCCAGGTTTCGTTTGGCGGCCGCAACCGTAAATGTGCGTATTCGGTCGATGTGAGCAAGGTGCGTGGAGCAAATGTGAGAAAGATACCAGTACATCCCAGCAAGTTCTTCGGGTGCGTAGATTGAGAGTTCGAAACCCAGCTGAATGATAAGACGGAATTGGCTCAGCTTCTGGTGGTATGCCCAGCTGCTGAGGGGGTAAGAGTAAGTGGCGTCGCCGTTCGAGAGTGTAAGAGGAGATTCTTCACTGAGAGTACGAAGTTGCTCATCGAGTTCTTCGGCCTGGACAAAGGTCAGTATTGGTCTGGACTGAGCATCATTCAGTGTCAACTCGGGTTGCATACCTCCATCTGAAGATTATCCCAATCGATAATTGTATGGCAGAGTGTCCGACGAATGCGACATCGGTTCAGGCACGCACTTCGAAAAGTGTCTACGAAGGGCTATATGAAGGTCAGAAAATGCCGTCTACGCGAAAGAAGCGGCTGAGTCTAAATAAGGGTGGACACGAGCCTCACCTGAGCAAAACGTTTCACAAAAGCGTCCATCCGCTGGGCAATCTGAAACCGAGGGTCCGAGGGCACCTCAGTATCGTCAATGTTGGCATCAAGAAGCACGCTCGAAGAGAGGACAAATTCGGACAATTCGTCGTACAGAAGTCCTTTGAGCGAGACTTTTCCAAGGACAGTCATGTTGCTCAGGATGAAAGTTTGGGTAAGTGAACGGATATAAACGGATGGTTGAGGTTTTCGAGAAAGCAATGTCCAAGCGGCGACCTTAATTCGTTAAAAGATATATTCAGATTCATCCTTCATGTGGAAAGGCTTAGAATACCTTCAAATTGTACGGGCCCCCATACTCAACGAGTTCCTGTAGGTCAATTGCATCTCGACACAACCGTCGTAGATGCGCCAGCGCATCCTCGAAACTAATCTTCACCATTGGCCGAGGGGGCACCGTGCTGGCCAATCTCCGCTGAATCTTGACACTGAAGGCATCGGGTACAGGCTTTCCGAGAGTGACTGATTTGGTAAGGGAAGACAACTGGGATAAGCAAGACGAAAAGTAGCCGGTTGACTTGTTCTGTAAGATGTCAATGTCATGGCCCAATGCGAGGAGGAACTCGCGTCGAAAGATCAACCGAGATGTGATTGCATCACGCAAGTCTTGATCGAGAGCATCGGCTGCTGCTTCAGTCCAGGAGACCGCCTCATCGAGGAGGTCTCGAAAGTGTTTCACATCGAACGGTGACAGTAAGCTGCGACTGTACAGCTGAGTGACAAAGTCCTCTTCCTGCAGAGAATCAGAAAATGTCTGGTAAGCCTGGTAAACTTCAAGAACCAACTTCGTAGTAGAACTCCGCTGAAACTCGCGAATGGACAAAGTCACAGCACTTAACCAGCGCAAGGCAGTAAGCGCGGAGTACAATATGTAACAGTTCGGAGTTTTTCTTCCTGTTACCCAACTTTTCACGCGCAAACCGAGCATCTTCGAAGGTTTTGGGTATCGGCCATAACAGTTTATCGAGGTACAAGGACGTGAAAAGGGTCTGCGATAGTGGATGTCCCATATGCCATGCCATCTGCCATGGTACAACCCGTTCAGTCAAACACTGATGACCGCTATCTTTGCGAGGGGGAGCCACTCACCTCATGGCAAAGCAACTCGTCCATGATTCCCACTACTTCTTCCGGAGCCAGCTCCCGCATGATGTTGTAGTCGTCCTCCAAGGCTTGCGCGTGATTCTCTCCAGGCCCGAGGTACCCGCTGTCCATCTTTGAATCCATTATCTGCCGGGAGTCAAGACCGGTCAGTCGATGACAAAGTTTCACGATCGTGTATCAGCGGGTTAAAAGAATTGCAACCGACCTCCAAGGCGCCGACTGCCTCGAACAGTGTGAAGTACTCATCTTTGACGAGCTCTCCTGTTCGCAGCTCTAGCAAAAAGATGAACGGTCAGTATATCTTTTCAATGCAGCAGACAGCTGGTCAAATAACAATGTGTAAGGAAGACAGTGAACGAAAACAGGCTTCTTACTCGAAGCAGCTTGTGTAAATACATCTGTGATGTCGCGTGGGACCACCGACTGCGAAACGACTCGCATCGTCGGGACGCGGACTTCGTTACTTGGCAGCATTAATATTCATCCACGACCATCTGCAGCCCGCTACGAGGTTGAACATCTATAAAAAATTGACTTTGAGGGCGATGGCTCAAATGAGGGACAAGACGGCGGAGGGAGCGGGGAGTTGGCGGACAGTACGTATGCGACTCGCGGAAATGAAACCCACAAGGACGTAAAGACCGCAGAGACTTGATGTGGGCGGAGTGCGGACGTCTGTTTACAGAACTCTTTACACTACACCCAGGTAGACTCTACATTTCAACACCTATAAATGGCAGGAAGAAAGTATTCCTTCTATTGAATTCAACAAACAGGCCAATATTGCTACAGTGATTGTTCCTCCCCGCGGGTAAAGCTTCCCCTGGGCCTTTGATAGCCCAATTCGCTCTCTATATCATCGCAACGAAGATCGTTTTCGGAGGAATAGTCTACTTCGACTCGGCCTGAGCAGCCTGCTGGTTGGTTTCGGCGATGGTCTTGACTTCGCCCTGCTTGCCGTTCTGTATTCAAGCGAGAAATCCGTTAGCCAAATCCAACCAGTCATTGTACCCATCACCACCACAACCCAGCACAACAATGATTATATACGAACCTCCCACTTGGAAAAACGCAGTTCCGACTGTCCACGGCGCTCCGCAGCGAGACGAGGGCCGTCCTTGAGAGATCTGCGGACGGCGCGGGCAGCGACGGCCAGGTAGCGGTTGTAGCTACAAAAAGTCAGTACCGGATCGGTCGCGCATTGTTAAACGGCATCGTCGGTAGGATTGGTTGTACATACGTCAAACCAGCGGCTTTCCACGCAGCTGCCATTTTGAAGACGGATGATGTTGGAGGGATTGTGTTTCGAATGGAGAATTAGAAGTCGTCGGGTATGTGACGCTTGAAACGAGCGTAGAGTTCGGAGGATCGGGAACTTCAGGTCATGTGATTCACGTGATCGAGCAGCATCTTTTCAGCCGTCTGACGACCAAAAGGTTGATACACTGACAACAGTTGAATTCAAAATGTCTGGCTTTGAATAAGTGCTAATTCTGTTGCTGCTATTTGTGGTTCCATGAGTCTGAAGATTTCAGGACAGTGATCAGCTGGCCAGATATGGATTTGAGCCACTACTGATAACCCAAACTCGACAGATTCATGATGCCTCAAACCTGCAAGCATAATATGAGAGGAATAGGGCATTGAAGGAAGAGGCTCTTTTTTTACTCGACATACAACCGAACAATATAACACGCTGCTTCTCGTTGCTTGTGGCCCTAGTTCTTGGACTCTACAAAGTATCAATGAGAAGTTATATCGACAAGCCAGCTACAATACTAGGCGACCCTTAACATTGAACTGAAAGTTTCCTTCAGGCCTGCTAGAATATAATCAGATTTAAGAGGACCTGCCTGTTTCTCCATTCTTGAACCAAACTCCGAAGCAAGCGTGCCCAGCCTATATATATTCCATGGCCGGTCCGCCCAAAAATGTGCCATATAGAACTGCACTTGACGTACTGCTCTTAACCAAGAAGAGATCTTCCATATGCATTCATATATCATATTCACCTAACTGAACAAAGAATACAAGCTTCCTTTACGCATGATACGCCGAGATGCAGGAGATTGAAGCTTCTTCCGTGCACGAAACGCAGCAGTTGACCGTATTAGACATACTAGTACGCATCATAATACACCCAAGAACAAGCAGCTATGGTCTGCCCTTGTTTTCACCCTTCATTGTTCACTCACCTCTGTCCCTCATCTCCTCTCACGAGAATCATCTTCCTCTTCCGACTTGGGAAGGTCGTTGGAGATACCTACTTTGCAACTCCAGGAGGCTTAGGAAATGCTGAATTGAGGAAAGATCGCAAGCCAAGACAGTACGTATATCAGCATCCTAAAATCTTTTCAGTCTCTGCTGCATTCGGCCTCCAGGTAATGTTTTGAGTCATGCCATATTCTCAGCTTTCTCTCACTTTTTGCCAGTGCCGCTGTACAGCGCTCCCTGTTTCAAAGCGTCCCTCTTGCTCTTGACTCTTCCTATAACATCAGCAGATATCAAAGCTCACCGAAAGGCACAGGCACGCATATAAACATGGGCACGCTGAAGAAGGAGTTGAATAGGCCTAAGAAGCGGACTCTGGTGCGTTGGGACTGTAAGAATTCCCTTGCTCTCGGAGGCATCTTCGATCATTGGAAACCGAGCTGACTCGTTTGATAGCTGACTTAGACGAGCTACTCCTCCTGACAATACAGTCTGTCTGTAACACAAAAAATGTGAAGATTCCCTGGGCAGATGTTGCGTCCACGATGGGCCACAACGTCACAGAAGGAGCAATAGTCCAGCACTTATCTAAACTCCGCAGTCGCCGGGTTGATGCTGGTAGACCCGTCCCTCCGGCACTTCGACGGGGCGGCATGGGGGCTCCGAACAAATCCTCGAACGCGTCTGCAACATACTCTAAAGGAGGAGCTCGGCGCAGTATACGCAACGCACGGGAATCCGACAGCGCGGCAGATCCATCCGATCTTGCACAAGATACTGATATTTCGTCTGACGAAGAGTACGTGGTTAGACGCCACTCGAAGGCTGAGAGAGACGCTGCACACAGCAAAAGGTCGAGAGTCCAAAGCAAAAAAGACCACCAAGTTCAGGCCCAGTCCGCAAGTGACCAGGACGCTGATGGCAGTCCGATCGGCTCTGAAGACTTAGTGGTATCTGGTGCCCAGTTTCTTGAGTATCCTAATCACAGGGTGTCTCGAAATCGTTCTCCCTCTCGTCTGCGAAAGCGGAGCAAGGTGATTGTTCTGAGATACAGGCGTGGAGCGCAGCCTGAAAGCGAAAAGCCTGTCAAAGTCGAGAGTCCAGAACACACTACAGTCAGCGCTTTCGATCCTCACAATCAGAGTCTACTTGACCAGCAATTGTATCAGGATCTTCATGGCACAGACAAATCAAATGCGATGGGTGCGGCAGATACTCACAGCGTGGGTGGGAATTATTTGTCTGCAGGTCACTCAAACATGGGCATATCGTCCATCCCAAATCCAAACTCCAATATTCTGGATTTTGCGTCTAGCCAGGGTCTGCATATGAATCCTTATCAGAACTTTTATCCCAGTTCACAGAACGAGCAGCTCAGCTTTGTTCCGAACACCTTAAATGATCTGAATCCCCATCAGAGTGAGCAAATGGGCATTGCTCCAGGGGAGCAAAGCATGTATTTTGACGACCTTTTCCAGTACATACATGCCAATGATGAGCATAAAGACAATAATGGGGCCAACTTTGCAGGTCCGGGGGCGATGGACCCCTTTTTCTGATTCTTCCTGACAGAATCATATGGCTCACTGTCAACTTTCAAAGACTTTGGATACTCAAGCTCAATACTTACGTGGCCTCGCTATGATTTAGCATTTCACGGAATCTTTTCTCTTACCAACGGAGCTTTTCGCATTGCCAGCCTCGTTGAGGATGCATATTTATTGGGCAAAGCCGGGAATCATGGTTCAGGAATTTTTCTGGCTTTTCATGATCTTGGCTCTTTGGAATGACTTTGTGAACATCTGCTTATTCTGCATCATACACGACTAGAAGCTGTTCTTTCTTCTTGCGTATTTTCGTTGCTTTGCGGTGCTTTAGCTTTTCGATTTGCTGCAATTGCGTCCATCAGCTCTCGGTCTTCAAATTTTCAACCGTTTTACAGTATGGAACAGGGAGATTGGATATCTTCTAGCCTTACCCAAATATGACCTCGATTTCTCCAAATACGATAAAGTCTTGCTATACCCTCAGAGGAAGACAAATATTTATACACGTTCGTAATCATACAGAGAAGAGAGACTATATGACATCCGTTGGTGGGAATTTCGTCTGCACCGCGGACTGGATAGAAGTAGATCTGACTGTTCAGTGACAGTCATTGATCCTACCTGCATCTTTTGCTTTACAAATACACATGTGTAGGCCCATCCAGCTCTACGTATGCGAACAATGCTAAGATACTGTTACCCATCGGCTTCTGTGTACGAATTTCCTCTTCCGACGATCCGAAGACATCCCTCGGGAAGGCCACACGTGACCTTCTAGGAGCTTCTGCCGCCAAGACATCCGGGGATCGAGAACCGCCTGGAAAAATTTCGAGACTTTGGCTTCATCTCCCCAGCTTTCATCCCCATTCCATCCTCCTTATCCTTTGCTCTTCCTCTTCTCTTCCTTCCCTGCACCTCTTCTCGCTCTGGGAGGTTTGATCGGGCAGTAGTTGTTTATCTTAACGTGATTATCTCTTCTTCTATCCCGTCTTTCTATCACCCTTCTTCCCATAATGCAGAGAGCTCTTTCTTCCAGGACGTCTGTCCTTTCCGCTGCCTCCAAGCGGGCTGCTTTTACCAAGCCTGCTGGCCTTAACCTGCAGCAGCAGCGTTTTGCCCACAAGGTATGTTCTCATCTACAATGCGCAATTTTAAGCTCCTGAAGCGGCGCCAATTTCTCTTCCGTTTCACCCGGAGCTCACTCCCGTTACCTTGCTAACAACCTTTCAGGAGCTCAAGTTCGGTGTCGAAGCCCGTGCTCAGCTCCTCAAGGGTGTTGACACTCTGGCCAAGGCTGTGACCTCGACTCTTGGTCCTAAGGGTCGTAACGTCCTGATTGAATCTCCCTATGGCTCCCCTAAGATCACCAAGGGTATGTTTGACTCAAGCTAGGCCGGGTCGCTGTTTTTACCTGTCGTTGAAACGAATTGTGTACTGATTGAAGTAGATGGTGTCTCTGTTGCCAAGGCCATCACTCTCCAAGACAAGTTCGAGAACCTCGGTGCTCGCCTTCTCCAGGATGTCGCTTCCAAGACCAACGAGATTGCTGGTGACGGTACCACCACCGCTACCGTCCTCGCCCGTGCCATCTTCTCTGAGACCGTCAAGAACGTTGCTGCTGGCTGCAACCCCATGGATCTGCGCCGCGGTATCCAGGCTGCTGTTGAAGCGGTCGTCGACTACCTCCAGAAGAACAAGCGTGACATCACCACTGGTGAGGAGATTGCTCAGGTTGCTACTATCTCCGCCAACGGTGACACCCACATCGGTAAGCTGATCTCCACCGCCATGGAGCGTGTCGGCAAGGAGGGCGTCATCACTGTCAAGGAGGGCAAGACCATTGAGGATGAGCTCGAGGTCACCGAGGGTATGCGCTTCGACCGTGGATACACCTCCCCCTACTTCATCACCGATGCCAAGTCTCAGAAGGTTGAGTTCGAGAAGCCTCTCATTCTGCTGTCTGAGAAGAAGATCTCCGCCGTTCAGGACATCATCCCTGCCCTTGAGGCCTCCACCACCCTCCGCCGCCCCCTGGTCATCATCGCCGAGGACATTGAGGGTGAGGCTCTCGCCGTCTGCATTCTTAACAAGCTCCGTGGCCAGCTGCAGGTCGCTGCTGTCAAGGCTCCCGGATTTGGTGACAACCGCAAGAGCATCCTTGGTGATCTTGCCGTCCTTACCAACGGTACCGTCTTCACTGATGAGCTCGACATCAAGCTCGAGAAGCTCACCCCCGACATGCTTGGTTCCACCGGTGCCATCACCATCACCAAGGAGGATACCATCATCCTGAACGGTGAGGGCAGCAAGGACGCCATCGCCCAGCGCTGCGAGCAGATCCGTGGTGTCATGGCGGACCCTACCACCTCCGAATACGAGAAGGAGAAGCTCCAGGAGCGTCTGGCTAAGCTCTCTGGCGGTGTTGCCGTCATCAAGGTCGGTGGTGCCTCCGAGGTTGAGGTCGGTGAGAAGAAGGACCGCGTTGTCGACGCTCTCAACGCTACCCGTGCTGCTGTTGAGGAGGGTATCCTCCCCGGTGGTGGTACTGCCCTTCTCAAGGCCGCCGCCAACGGCCTCGACAACGTCAAGCCCGAGAACTTCGACCAGCAGCTCGGTGTCAGCATCATCAAGAACGCCATCACCCGCCCCGCTCGCACCATTGTTGAGAACGCCGGCCTCGAGGGCAGCGTCATTGTCGGCAAGCTTACCGACGAGTACGCCAAGGACTTCAACCGCGGTTTCGACAGCTCCAAGGGCGAGTACGTCGATATGATCTCCAGCGGTATCCTTGATCCCCTCAAGGTCGTTCGCACTGCTCTGCTCGATGCCAGCGGTGTCGCCTCCCTGCTCGGTACCACCGAGGTGGCTATCGTCGAGGCCCCTGAGGAGAAGGGCCCTGCTGCTCCCGGCGGCATGGGTGGTATGGGCGGCATGGGCGGCATGGGTGGCGGCATGTTCTAAGCTGCTCCCAGCCCCCTTTGCTAGCCTAGCCTCTTCCATGATTTAAAGGTTTCTTCTCTTCCCTTCGAGCGTGTCTTTGCATGTACGAGCATTTTCTGATATATCGGTGTTGAGAATCTTCTGTAATATTTCTTATTGTTTCTGATGTGTTACACGCCTTGACAGCCCCTTCACCTACTCCGACTTCGTCCTATACCTCGATACTCATATCTACCTCCTCGATCCGCCACTTTGATTGACTCGATCAACATCTCCACTCCATCCCATTGGGCATAAAAGTCTTAGGGAGTCCTGTGTATCATATATGTACTTTATGTAATCTACGACAGCTTTGGAGCTGTGGTGGTCGTGCCTCAATTAAAATAATTGTTCACGGCATTCCGTCTTCAGTTTCTGTAATCATCACGTAGGTTTGCTACTCGGTCCTCGACCGCCTACTCATACAGTAATGATCAAGAAGACGCTACCATGCAGCCATAGCTGCATGCAAGCAATCTAAGCCGAGATTCCCTGCCGACTCGACTCTCTCAACTTCGTCGAATAATCGTATCCCGGCGGCATCATCTCATACTCTGCCACAGGTGGCAGCGGCGAAATCACCCGATCGGGATGCCGTTTCCAGATATCGTCCTCTAGTTGTCTCCGATACCGCCGGGAGGACAGATAGCGATTAAAGCGGTTCTCTTCATGATGCACGTCCAAGGGCTCTTCTGAAGGTGTGGATAGACGAAGAACCTTCTTAGCGGGAGCTAGGAGAAAGTCTCTAGCCATTCCGAAGAGAATCGCATGTGCCTTGGCAACCGTCTCCCGGAGTCTTTCGTTGAAGGCTAACAGTAGGGCGACAAGGATGATTGCGATGGATGATGGGCCTAGAGCACGGCGTTAGAGGTGCCTAACTAAATTTCTGAAGAGATAAGTCAGGGTCCTGACCTGCAATCAGAAACATTCGACGGAAATCGGGGTTTGTTTCAGTGCCGCTCCATTCTCGGACATTGATGCCGAATAACGAGGTGAAAAAGGAGAGTGGTAAGAATCTGTGCCGGATGAGCAATTGGGTAAGAGGTGACCTGCGCAGTAGACGCGACTTACATGACAGTGAAGATTGTAAAAACCATCACGGAACGTGACTGGGTCTGGGTGACTTCTGCCTCCCACCGAGCCAGTCGTGATTCATCGACATTGGCTTGCTTCTGCTTCAAGTCAAGGAGGTTCTCTACCTGTGTCCGAGAGTCAGCGAACAACATCATCATGGACGTCGAAGTTGCCTACTGCTTTCTGGGCCAAGATGGTGTTCTCTCTCATTTCCTGGACTTGGTTGCGGTACTCGTCGAGCCGTGCTAGCGAGGCTTCGACAAAGACCTTGCCATATCCCCGGTCTTCGAAGTATCTGGCCATGGTCTTGACTGTTGTGGTTTGCTGCTCGAGAAGCTTCATGATCGTTCCTAGTTCATCCATAATGTCCCTCAGTTCCAATAGCGCAGAAAGGTCTTCTCGGTTCTGTCTTGCTACACGAATGTCTCTTTCATCACGCTCCGCCTCGGTCATTGTTCGTCCATCGGCCGTTTTATTGTGTTGAGCAGGATTTATGGTAAACCCACGACTTCGGAACCGCTTAAATGACTTGGTCACTGATTCTGTCTGATTCTTGGTTAATCAGCGGTCGGGATATGCGAGCTATATAATCCTTACCAAGATGCTGATGGACTCTTCGAAAATTCGGAGAACTTGTAAGTCATGCTGCAAGGTCCTGTCAAGTAAAACAGTGACAGCATGTTGTACTATGAGCGCAGCAAGATCACCAGCAGTCTCGAAACGCCGTGCCAGGTCTCCATTGAGCTCATTATAGATACTGTTGTGTAAGTTTGCTTGTTCGTAGAGCTTACCCTCGGATGTTGTAGCCTCTTGGTTGGGGAAAAAGGTCACGACCGTCCTCTGGTCCAAGATCCAAAGCCATAGCTGGTCTACCATGAGGACCTTGCCATCCTCGAAAACGTCCGGAACGCCTGAATCACTGTCCGTCCTGACTGAATCCCCTATCTTATCCTTGAGATTAATTGATTTCCTGGTCCTCTTCCAGAGCATTTGATCGTCATCTCTGGCAGTGGTAGATCTCAGGTTCGGGTATCCGAACTGGTCCAATGTTCTCCTGAGGTGAATTGGAGGCTCGCTTCCGAGGAACTTCCAAATCAGCTTCGATTCCAAGTGCGCCCTGGATATTTTGTCCGGTACGGGTCTGGATCTTCCTTGCCACAGTCGGTCTTCGACAACTTTCCGGCGTTGTATTAGATTCCGGTATGTATCCCAATGAAGCTGGGCTGCTTTTCAGCGTGTGAGTCAAAATATGCGCGCGCGTACAGACTTACATATGGCATCTGCCAGAGGTGGATGATTAGTGAGTATCTTGATTGATTATGGCCTAAACTCACATATAGAGCGAGCTGAGGGTCCTCCATTCCTCTTGATCGATCGTTGGGCGAGGCATCATTCTGCCTGGAATGAATGCACGAAGGGCGTACATAACGAGCGTGAGGTTCAAGGTGACGGGCTCTGATCAGCTTTGAAAACCAATTTTCCTCATTTATGAACCTGCTCAGACTGAACGTAGACGGAATGCTTAGCGCCTGCCCATGGCCACAAATAGAAAACTGGAACCGGAAAAGTATTTACAAATGTGGGATTTCACGATCCGCACAGGCTTTAGCAAGTATGGAAGGTACCCATCCAGTATGTGTATAAGGAATGTGTATCCATAGAAGCTTCTCGCTTCCAGGTTCTGGCCGGTCAAATCGAGGTGCCGCTCGAGGCTTGTCTGCTCCCATCATGTTCCGCTGAGCTCGTTTCGGGAGCGGCACAGGAAGGAGCCCTTTATATCTTGACCTTATATTACTGTACCTTTTCTTAGCTGAGCTGTTTGCATAAATGTTGCAGAACGCTTACATACAATAGTTTTGTTTTGCTCGCTTCGACATCGGAGCGCTCATTTGGAACCTCTCCCGCTTCATTGCTATTGCCTTCTTTCTGAAGTGTGTCTCCATGTTGTACAACCGACTCCTCTAGGTCGAAGCTGATGTTCTCGTCGCCTAACTCAAGATAGCTTTCGGTGCTCGGCTCGCTGATATGTATTCTCGGAGAAGCTATGGGCATGAAACTGCGACTCTTCTTGATAGAAGGCCTGGACTGGGTTCCTTCAGTTTTTTCGCTCGTGACATTCACTGGTTCATCGGGTTCTGACTCTGAATGAATAGACGATCGTCCGCTGTCAAAGCTGCTCACTGACGAATCATCCAGAGAGCCAGGCGGCATCTTGCTGGTCCTGCTTAGCCTATCTCTGAGGCACTCGGATGGGCCTCTTGACAGATAATCACTGAGTGTCACTTTGGTGGACCAAAGCTTCAGAGGAGTCTCCTCGCTGACACCAAGTGCAGTATCTTCAAAGAACCCATTGACCTGAATCATGACTTCTTTTTCGACATGGAGTGGCGCATCCACAAGAGCAGACAGTCGTACTGCCATGGAGACAGATGACTGAAGCTCCTTTATGAAGCTCGTCCTTGTAGTTTTCTCTTGACTCTTGAAGTATGCTGTTCCTACATGATCAGTAGCCAGCGGTATCTCCTTCTCATGCTCCAGACCTAGTAGACCTGATCGAATGGAGGTGACTGGTACATGGACTTCGACAGTGGCGCTCGTGTCCGAGCCTGCGATATTGATGGCGGAATCAACCGTCTCCAGGAATGTCCAGACTTTCAAATCCGCCGAGACCGCCCTGAACTGATTCGAAAGATGCATGAGCTGTTGATGTCGAGGCTTTAAAATTTCCCGCAGATGACGCGGAACGCGATACTTCAATCTCATTATGCTAGAAATACTTTGAGTATACTCTGGAGCGTATAGGTAGGTAGATCCCTGATGTGGAGTCGCGAAAAAAGCTATTCCGTGACAGCTCGACAGGATAGATTCCAGATTTGAAGATGCTTGGCTGGCGATGATCAGGGCCGCCTTAGCTACCAATCCGCCGGTGCTATGGCAGATGAAGAAGATGGGCCGTCGACTCTTCTGAGCAAGAAATCAGTATATGATTCACTCTGTAAACACAATATGGCCTACAGCGCTAAGTCGCCGCTCGTGGAGCTGGTTCAGCAGATTATGGGCCAGCGAATTCAAGTCATCGCGAGCACCGGGCTTCCCATGATCATAGAGTAACACCCGCGCATTTGGTATCTCCCTTGTGAGGTCCGATATAAGCCATGGTTCGTTAGAGTCATCGCCGAACCAGGTATTCCATGGGTCAGATCCTATGGCAGGAACAGCAACGATGCTGGAAGATATCAGTGCTTGAAGCTCTAAAGGTCAGTCTAACAGCATTTTGGACTTACTCGACATCGGAAGAATCAACAGAATTCCTAACCGTGAATCGACCGCGCAGGTCGCCTTGGGGGATATTCTGCGCCATAGCACGGAACCCCCTCGAGTGATAGCAGTGCTGTAACCGATATCCATCTGAAAGAACAGACGCAAGATGAAATCCATCCAGGAGGCGGCCATCTAGAAAGACACAGAAATAGCGGCCATCATCTGACTCATGGGGAAGGCCGTGGCAGGTGACATCCTACGTGCTGACAGCCTTGTCTCTCCAGGCTCGTCAACAAAGTCCCAATGCCCTTCACTAGCGGAAGATGAGCGATCACCTCGCGGGCTTAGTATACACATAGAGCTGGTTTTGAACCAATACTAGGCCCCGCATTTTAGTGTCGCTGGAGACTCCTGATGTCAAAACATCGAGGACACGGGTTGTCTGAGCCTTGCGACTATCCGGCAATCCCCGTGTCATGATTGGCAGGTTATATGTTTGTGCGGAAATTGTACTTCTAGCCTTGACTTGCTGGAGTCCTGTTTGATCTTTGTATACTGTGGTTAGAAAAAGTGAGCATAGGCAGTAGTGACATCGTGATCTTTCCCATACGGACGCGGTAGGCTAAAAGAATTGCCGAGCGAGATAT